AGCTTTTCAGGTACTGCATTCTCCACTGCTTTAATCAACGAAGAGTCTCCTATTCTAAACAGACATAAAATGTCAACTTTTCTGAAGAAATATAAATTCCATCTCATATGTCATCTAGACTGGTGTTATGTGGAGGTCATGCACCTTCATGATTCAGAAAGAGACTCCCTGGTTACACAATTAAGGCACAACTATCATACAAGGGAGACTGTATTAGCTGGTCCCAAGAAAGTCTAACAAGGAAAAAAGAAGATGCCACAAAAACCTAAGGCATCTGCTATATACTTGTAATCCAAGAAAGAATCTGTTGAAATATAATTGAGCTAGAAAATAAAACTGCCCTTTACTCTCCAAACAGGCAAGGATGGCTGTAAGACCAGCAAAAAACTCCAGTTTCCAGACTTCATGTCAGCACAAACCAGAGGAAATCTGCAGCCCTCTTCCTATACCTAGAGACATTCTAAGATATAGTTCCAAGTATCTTTAATAGTAATATTCAAAAGATCACAAGGTAAGTTATTCCCTCACAAGCCTGTGCCTACGGTTCCTGCTCTGTGTTCTGCTCTGTGTTTCTGGATAGAACAAAATCTGAGAAAAGGGAGGGGGAGTCTCTGAGGTCCCCACATCAAGGTGGTTCTCTTCACCAAAGACAGGCTGCTTGGCTGTAGCCAGATGGACATTTGGAGCCGATTACTCCTGGAGTAGAGGTTCCATGCTGGTTAGGATCCCCACACCAGGTATGAGAACTGGAAACTGAGGCCTGCAGGGGACAAAATGTGAAGACTGCAGACGAGAGGCAAGGAGGCTCTGGAGAGAGCCACATCCAGTGCCTGTTGTCCAGTGCTGAGCACCTTCAGCTGGGGCTGGGAGAACTTTAGATTTTCAAGGCTATGCTGTCCTTGTTATTCGTCCACAGGGAGAAAGGTAAAAGCTTAAGGCTGCAGAAGCAGAGTGGCTATCATCACAGCGGCAAGAAACAAAGCTGGGGAGATCTCATCCACTCCCTCTGGGGAAACGCCAGGGACCCCCGGAGCTTAGCTGAGGATGTGAGAGTCACTAAAGAGCAAAGGATCCCCAGGCCTGCTGTGCCAGCCCCACCCCAGGAGCGCACTGAAACAGCAATTGAGACTGGGCGTGGTGGTGCATGCCTGTAATCCCAGCTCTTGGGAGGCTGTAAACAGGTGGATTACTACAAGTCCAATCTAGTAGTGAGACCCTGAACACCCTGTAGACCCTTCCCTAAAAAACAAACAAACAAAAGCAAAGGAGGCAGGAGGAAGGAAAGAGTAGCACTAAAGCAAAAAGAGAAAGGCAGGTTGGGAGCCAAGGCAGGAGGAGGGTACTCCTAGGAAGGCAGGGCCCTGCACAGAGGCCGATTTCTCACCCAAGAAAAAAAGCCACTTCAAAAGTCACAGAAAGAGGAGCCAGAAAACAAGACAAAGCTGCAGAGTGGAGCCCAGGAGTATTTTCAAATGCTTCTTTTTGGTCACTTGCTTTCTCCAGAGTCCTGAACCCAGCCCACCGAAACTCCTCTTGGCGGGGGGGGGCTGCAATCAGTTACTTCCCGCCATCTCCTCTCCTCACCCTCTAAAGATCAAATGCAAAGCTAGCATCTAGGGCACTCCACCGAAGATGGGGGTTTGCCATGGAGAAATCAGGGATCCCCAGAAAGGAAGTGCTTGCATCCTTAAAGTTCCTTTCCAGGAATAAGTTCCACAACTCAGTTCCAGTCTGGTTTTCATTTCATAAACCCTGGCTGTTTGCTTTTTGAGGTCTCTGTGATCATTTTCTTAAGGGTAAAACAAAATAAAAACTATGAGCTTACTAAGGCTTGACTTCTCACTCTTCAGAGCTTCAAATATAGCAGCATTAAGCTGATTTTTTTCAGTTGCCCATAATTTCTGAAGTCACTAGTAATAACTTAAGGTGCTCAAAGTCAGGTCTATGTCTTCCTGCCTTTTCTCGGAACAGTCTTAAGTGGAAGAGAGCACCTACATAAATAACATCTAGAAAATCTTCCTTATGGGTTTTGCTAGGAAAGAAGAGAACACCGTCACAGAGGACAGAAGCTACAAAACTCCCATGTTAAGGGGCGGCTTTGAAGACAGAATGAATGCTTGGGTCTGAGGGGCACATAGCAGTGGATCAACCACCTCACAGAACACCCTTGACCCAAAGAGAGGTTACACCTTGAATGATCAACCTGTTCTCTATTATACATTTCCAGAGAGGCCCAGATGCTGTGGGCTAAAAGACAACAACTACAGCTCAAGAACTGAGATAAGCACTAGTCCAGCTCAGGAGGGACGTGCTGCGCTGGGGCCACCCCGCATTTTGCTGACTCAACATTCACCGCTGTGAAATGTGCTGGAAAGTGAACCAGTGCTGTCCAGTTTCATCCACTCACTCACTCCCTCATTCATTCATTCAACAAGTATTTGTTGAGCCACAAATGTCAAGTACTAGTCCAGGTGCTTGAGAAAAGAGCAGTGAAAGGCAAACTACCATCCCTTAAGGGAGCTTATACTCCAAATTCTGAAACTTACTATATAGCAGTGTTTTCAAACTATGAGCTGTAAAAGACATCCAGCAGTAGTACCAGATGAGCATTTACAAAGGGGGAAAAAAAAGGAACAGAGAAGTAAAAAAAAAAAAACCAAACAAACATCAGAGCACATCACGCACAGTAAGGTAAGTCATTTCATAAGACCTACATCCCTCACAGATAGCTGTGTTTATGAGGCTTGTAAAGCCAACAGACAGACTATGCTGAGCTGGTCGTGCCAACTGAACAGAAATCCTTGATTTAAAAGCCTCTTTTCTTTCCAGTCACTTTCCTTCTACTCTTCAATGGGACTAGTTCTCAATAGCCCATCCATAAATTCATTCTTACTACATTCGTTTCACCCAATCATGGCATTTTAGCTACATATTAAAGCACAGATTCCTTTTTTGGATCAGTGTCTCCAGCTTTTCTGAGATACCCTTTAAACCCATCTTCCTCATCCAATTAAGAAAATACACCATGACCAGAAGCCATGTGAAATTTTACATGGCTTCTTTATTCCTGAAACAGGGGCTCCCTGTGTAGTTCAGGCTGGCCCTGAACTCACTATGTAGCCCAGGCTGGCCTTGAACTGACAGTAACCCTCCTGCCTCAGCCTCCCAAGTTCTAGGATTACAGGCATGGGCCACCACGTTGGGCTTACACAGATTCTGAAGTACTAATCCTAAGAGCTTCTACACAGAAATACAGAGCACGCAAATACACAGAAGATACACATCTTTGCATCCACGTTTGATGTCCAAACAGAGCATCAGACCCCCATGCTCTAATGGATCCCCAGCACAAAGGCTGGCAGTCATTTTCCAGGTCCCCAGTGTTCAGTATTTGGCTATTTGAGGCTCAGCATGAAGCCACACACGCAGGCACTCACCCACAATCCAACGCTGTCAGTGAGGCTGAGGAAAGAAGACCACAATGCAAGGCCACCCGGACCAACCACAATCATCGTTCTTGCCAAATGGCTGCTTACGCTGGTTTCCAAGTATTTTATTACTCACCCCCTCTTCTTTCAATCCATGCAAACTACTAAATATGAGCATTCGCAGGTATGTGACAACTTTGTTTTTAGTTGGGACTGTTCATTTGCCCTTCCATAAATTTTTAAACCCACAATCTCCAGTTCCTTCACAGTGCTACTGGAGCCATGAAGATAATTCTTAAACATCTGCCAGCACTCTGCGGCTGTGAGTGGAACTGGGACATGAGTGGAGGTGCGCAGGACACGCAGCTTTTTCCTGGGATCCTGGCGCCTGACGTCACAGGACGGCAGCTCTGACCTCCCAAAGGCTTTTCCCTTTGTTATGCAGGCTTTGTGATGGGAGGCTAGGCCTGCCTCCTGCCCCTACCCCGGGTGTGCTGCTCTGATCTTGGGAGCTGGGCAGAGAGGAACCCCAGGCGCCTTTATTGAAAGGTGGGCTGCGCAGAAAAGCTGGGAAAGTCCGTGAAAGAGAAGGTTGTGCTAATCCCACTCCCCAGCAGATGCAGGATGCTGCATACTGCCCTCACTTCCCGAAAGCAGCTAGAGCCTCAGGATCCTCCAACATTCTCCCCCTCCTGGAAATCCAAGATGCACAAAGGCAGTACCCAACTGCAATTGAGATCACAGGAGCACTGATTTGCAAACTCCCATGGTCAGCAGCTACACAAACCTCGAATACTTAAAACTGGGGGGTGGAGAGGGAGGACTAAAGGGAATGGGGAAAAAAAGAGCGACGGTATTATGTACAGGTACAAATTTCCCATAATGAATGTGATCATTATGCAGGTCAAAATGTACAAATAAATATTAACTACTTTTTAAAAAATGCAACCTAGTCTTCACTTATTAACTACTTCTGAGAAAACCTTGTTGCTTCCTGGCTGGCTACAGAGGAAGTCATTCCCTGCTGCTGGCACTCAAGCTGCCCCAAAGCGGGGAGTAGCTGTTTCCACAGGCACGGTCACCTCGAGTGTTTCTTTGTTAGAGCAATGTCTTGTCTTGGTATTTCTGTAAGTTGCTCTCGGTCCCCCAGAACAAAATCCAGGACATCTATAGCAGGCCCTTGTGCTTCGGGTGTCTAAATCTTGCTTTTACTAAAGACAAAGATGAAGATAGTCATCGTGAATTACACAGGCAACTAGAAATCAAGGTCTTCCAATTTTTCCTTTTCTATGATACTAGCTACTAACAAGGTCAACAAGCTCAAAGTGGTCAGAATAACAGAAAAAATACTAACTTTAAAACCTAACTTCCAAGTATACGTACATGTACTAAATACATTTGGCCAAACATTCAGCAAGCCACCTTCTCTCTGCTTTGTACCTAGAACAGCTCTGTTAACTTCTTACAACACTGCAGCACGCTGGAACATCTTATACATTAATAATTTTAAAACCAGCCAAACCCCATCATGGCTAGGCTTGATGACAGCAATCTAACTCTACCAATAGTTACCAAATTTCTGAGTCGGTGATCCGGGTGGAGACGAATTCCCACTGGGGGACAGGTAGAGGTAGCTTTTGTGCACTCCTGTATTGAAATCAAAAGGGGACTGGTATTCTTCATACAAGCCGGCGTCTCCGTGCTCCATTCCAGGCAGAGGCAGAGCGCATGGCTCTCTGGCTGCCGGAGCTCCCCCTGCAGCCTGGGTCCCTGCAGCCTCAGTCCCTTGGGCTGAGCAAGCTTACCGAGAGGCTTCCTGGTGCGGAGCCCCGCCCCTGTCCGGGTCCAGGTGGACCTCCACGGACGGGCCTTTTAATAAGTGACTTCTCCAGAGCAACTGCAGGAGGGGCTCTGTGCACCACCTGCTGCTCCCTCCAGGTCAACAATGAGCAACCTGGCAGAGGGTGGAGCTGTCTTCAGTAAACAAAGGAGGGCCGGGCTCCAGCTCCACAGTGTCACTTGTCTACAAAGTGCAAGCCAACACTTGACACTATCAGAATCATAAGAAACTACATTTCTAAAATGAGTCAGATGATCACAGCTATCGCAGGGTAGAGTTAATATTCTAGGACAAGGAGGGATTATCAGTCAGTAATCTGCAAATGCCATCTGGGTGATTTTTTTTTTCCTCCAAGGATTTACTGTCCAATTGTGAAAGCTGAGCTTCCTGCTTTAGCAACCAGCTTCCTAAGCACAACTTCATACAAAAATAAAGCCGTATTTTCATCGTTATTTCATCTAAAGTGAAGTCTGCATCTCTAACACACAGTTTTCAATCCAACTTGTCTCTAGCTTTTCTTCTTTCTCCTCATGGCAAGGGTGGTGTTTCAACTGCAGGAGGAGAATCACTAAAGGCACAGCTCCTCTGCGGCCTGCACTGTTTGACTAAGGCCACGGCTCTGCACTTTCTGCACTAAGCCTGTTTGTCTTGGCGTGGCCCACTCGGCAGTGGCACGGTTGCAGTTGGCTCATAAAATAAAATGTCCAAGTCCCTTTCCTTGGGCCCAAGTCTCTTCACAGAACCTCGCACGTTCCCGGTGTCTCTGCTCACAGCATTCGCAGTCCCTGGCTTGTGCTAACATCAAGAAGGTAAACATAAAGGCCCCCTCGGGGCCCCTGGCGGGCAAGGGTGTTCAGTGCAGAACAGCAAAAAAAGGCAGTTCTGTCTTTCCAAATCTACCTGAGAAAACCAGAACTTGACAGTCTCCCTGAATTAGAAGCAAATATAATACTCAATATATTTTAATCATTAAAAAAATTAGGATGTCTACTGTATAAAATATACATGTACCTAGGGAGTTGATATCTATCTCAACTTGTGACTAATTTCTCTTTTTTTTTTTTTATTTTAGGGAAGGGTCTACAGAGTGTTCAGGATCCCACTACTAGATTAGACTCATAGTGATTCTCCTGTTTACAGCCTCTCAAGTGCTGGGATTACAGGCCTACACCACCATGACCAGTCTCGATCCCCAGTTCAGCGTTCCCCGGAGGTGGGGCCAGCACAGCAGGCCCAGGGATTGGAAACCCCTACACACCCAACCACCCAGCCCCACCCCCCTGCACCTGCTTGCAGGTGCTTTAATCCACTGAGCTACTTGGCTGGCCCTTGATTTTTTTCTATTAGTCACATTTTGTACTCTATGACAAGTCTTCATCATAAGTTTTTTTCAAAAGTTTATTTTTTACCCAAACAATACTTTATTCTCTTAAAAGATACAAGAATTTGAGTAGCTATAAATGGTATTCACTTTAGAAACAGCATTAACCTTTTTATGATGACTTAAAAGAATAAATCGTTGCACTTTCTGAAAATCTACTACATCTCTCACTCCAAGAGGACACACAGTAGAATATGCTTCTGGCCTAGAGGTGGCTCCAGGGGTCCCTACTGCTATGGTTTAGATCTAACACGGTCCCCAAGTCTCATGTGTTCTGAGGTAGAGCTGTTGCTCATGAGTTCCTGGGCAAAAGTGTTGTTAGGAGGTGGAGCCTGGTCAGAACAAGTGGCTCTCTGAGGTATGATTTTTCTAGAAGAGTGTTCTTGAGCCAGCTTCTCCCCTCTCTCCTGCTTCCTGGGTGAGCACATCTGCTCTGCTGCACCCCTCTGCCGTGCTGTTTCTGCCTTCAGCCATTCACCAGAGACTGAGCCCCCTGAAAACAGAAGCCAAATAAGCATCTCCTTTGAATTGCAGGTATCAGCTATTTTGTCCCAGCAACGGCAACATGAGCACGTACTACACTGATCTGCTCCCCACACTGTCTTTGGTCGCTACCTACTGGCAGAAGGCCTGCTCTATCACTCACCTCCCTCCTCCTAGAGCCGCGGGTGTTAGAAGGCGAGTAATTCTGTCACAGATGCAGTGCAGATCACAGTTCCCCCATGCCTGTCATCATCTCAGCCCCACGTCCCGGCCTTCAGTGCTGACATCCAAGTGGCACCCATTACCTGAAGTGCTGCCCTTTTTCTGCCAGTCACCCTTCCAGACTCAGGTAGAAATGCCGCCTCTTCTCAGGAGCCCTCCCTGTGTCTGTCCCTTTGCCCTTTCCAGCAGCAGCACCCAGACATGACATGCCCATTTGCCAGCCTGCTGGTGTCTCTATAACCCGGCCTCCACCTTAGGCGCTACACCCAAATTAGATCAGGATTGATAGTCGGCCTGGAGCACAAAAGGCCAGGCCTTCTTCTCAAATGTGAGCATGGAGAGCTAAGAGATGGTCTGGAAGCTCTACCCTCCCTGCTTGGGCACAACCCCAGGGTTTCTGCATTAACCTCCAAGCTCTTGCAACCTATTCTTGGTGTCCACATCTCCAGCCAGAGCCCACTCAGACACTACAGCCACAAGAAAGGTGGAAACAGACACCCAGCATGGGGAGCCTGGGGCCCTAATGGGATGGCAGAGAGCCCACTAGCCCAAGGTTCAACTGCCTAGCAGAAGCAGGTTAAAAAAATTAAAAATGAAACTGTAACTGGGGAACAGACCACCAGAGACCCTGCATGACAAACGATCATATTTAATGTATTAGCAGGTGGGGAAAGGTGGGCTGAAGTTTTCTGAGGAAGGCAGGGACAGTATAAAAATTAAATGTGAGGGCTGGTGTGTAGCTCACTGCTAGAACATTTGCCTGGCAGGCATGAGGTACAGAGTTCGACCCCCAAGGGGACTTTGATATAGAATCCTAGACAAATCCAGGCAAAAGGAAGGGCAGCCTTTTTATTTCCCACGTGGACTATCTGGCCCAAGGAACAATCAGGCAGATCTGCTCCTGCTGTTCCAAAACTACACAAGAGCGCACTCACCAGGCCTCCCGCGGGGCCCCTATCTCTGCGTCCACAGCCCCAGTTTCCAGGCCGCAGTGTAACTGTACCTGTGGGTCCCTAAGACAAGCTCTGGATGCTGATCCGAGGGGCCTCAGGGATCCTTCTCCCCACCTGCCAGTGCAGAAGAAGCAGAGAGGGGCAAGGGAGGGGGCAGCAGCATTTGAACCCCTAATTGCTGCCCTGGACTTTTTAAGCACACTTCTGTCCTATGTCCCTTAGGGTTCAATTCTATCAGTTCCATAGAAAGAGCCTCACATGATCTCCTTTCCAATCTTATTCTCCACTATTACCCAAGCATGGTACAGCCAAACTTGATTTCTTGCCTCCTGAACATCTTAAATTTCAGACAATTTCTTTCCAACTATAGCTCTCTTTTCTCTGTATTTTTACCTGTAAAATCCCTACTTATTACACTCTACTTAATAAAGGAGGTTCATTTTTAGATACTACCTGAAATAGAAGTAAGCTTCATAAAGGCCTACTAAAAGTGGATTATTTAAACGCGCAAAAGAACCTTCATGTAAGAGAAAATGTACGTGGACTGTGCCATGATCATGTAGTCATTTCTAACACAGAAACATATTCTTGATATATTTAGGTAAATAAAACAGCACAAAAGCAGGTTGCAGGGGCCAGGGAGATAGCTCAGTAGGATAAGCGTTTGCCTGGCAAGTGCAAGGGCCTGAGCTCAATCCCCGGTTCCACAAATAAATAAATAAAAATAATAATAATAATAATAATAATAATAATAAAAGAAAGTTTGGGGCCAGGGAGATAGCTTAGTAGAAAAGCATTTGCCTGGAAAGCACAAGTTTCTTTGGGGCTGGGGAGATGGCTCAGTAGAATAAGCGCTTCCCTGGCAAGCGCAAGGGCCTGAGTTCAATCCTTGGTTTAAAAAAAAAAAAAAAAAAGCAGTTTGCATTAGATTATCTGTATTTGTACAGTTACTAAACAGAAATCAACCAAATAAAACAAAGAAAATGGGCAGAAAGAGAACTCCATGTTCCTGAACCCCAGAAAAGTGAATCATCCGTTCCGGAGCCAGCAGAGGGCAGCCACAGGCAGCTCAGGGATGAACTCCAGGCCTGGGGGAAGTGTGCAGCCCATCAGATAACTCAGCACTGTGCACAGAAGTGGTAGCAGAGCCTACAAATAACTGTAAAAATCAAGCTTCTATCTGCCTATTAATACACCACTCATGCATATCAGCCCAGATCCTCCCCAACCTGAAAGACCCTGAAGGGATGGCTTGACTTAAAGCTATACAGCAGGCAGAACTTACTCCATGGGTGCTGAAGGAGACCACAAGGCGGCCACCCAGCAGGAGAGGCAGGGCGCAGGTGACGCGGACGTGCCACCACGATGCCGAGCAGACTTGCTGCATCACACATGGGACAACTGGACCACCAAAATGACTGGGGATGCAGTAAGTTATAACCCATTGAAAAGCAACCCAAGAGTCCACAGAAATAATAAATGAACTAAGAGGGAAAAGCAAGACTTCTAATTTCATTAGCAAGCCATCCTGGCTGTCACTCCAAAAAGTCACACGGCCAATCTGGGTAGAAATTCTGACAAAGAGTATGATGTTCACATGGGCACATGGCACAGATTAATTACCAGTCAGAAGGGAAAACGGGCTAGCTATACGGTGGCAATAATGGACCACAGCTTGACTGGACGATCAAAGCCGCCATCACCCGGGTGAGGCAGGGGCTGCGAGGCATCAGCATGCCACGTGCAAGGAAGAGCCTCTGTCGAGCAGGAGGGAGCTCCAGGAAGATCCAAATGAGAGCGGCTCTATTTTTAAAAAGGGGAGGGAGCTGCAATTCTTCAAAAACATCAACTTCATTAAAAAAAAAAGGCTTATGAAAAAGATCCATAAAAATAACTTAAAAGCAGATTTTAAACATGTGA